CGCGGGTGAGGGCTGGGCCCCGAGATGCTGGGCTTGGACCAAGCCCACTGCTCCAGATCCAGCACCCACACGTCGTTGCTCCTGCAGGGATGAGACAACACGGGCTGAGGACACAACCAGGGACGTGGAACTCGGGATCAGGGCTGGGTTTTATGGCAGAATTGGGATTTTTGTAGGTTGGTGCTTGGTATTTGCTGCGAGAGGTGAAGGGTGTGCTAAGACAGCAGGCAGACCCCAGAATCCTGCAGAAAATTCCTTGTGGGTGACCCCAAGACCATCCCAACCCCCTCGTGGCTCACATGGGTTATTGTCAGCCACCCTGCCCCCAAACTTACATCTGTCGGGATCCAAGGGAGCCCCCAAAAACGATCATTTTGTCCTCGATGACACAGGAGGAGTGTCCTGCCATGGGAGGGGGGCCGTGGGTGGTCATGATGCAGTTCCACCTGGGAACAGAGGCAGGAACACATGCCCCAGTGAAGGAAAACGTTGGATGAAAGGCCAAACAAGAAATCCCAAAGGCCTGCAAAGTCCTCAAGAACATGTAATGGAGGAAAACCACAGGGAAAACCTCCAAATATCCAAATAGCAACTCAACTAATTAGAAATCCCAATGTGCTAAACATTTTTAAGGCATGACCAAGTCTCATGGCCAACTTGGGAACATCTCCCCTTCCAATTAAGTTTGCCTCAAATTCTTTCCAAGAGAATTGGAAATCTTAATTACAGAGTTGTAATGACACTGCCCAAAGTGCTCTGGATAATTGATACTTTGGAGGATGAAAAGTTCTCAGCACAAGAGGAGCAGGAACCTTCTCTTTGATACAGCATTCTCCTTCTCACACACACCATCAGTGAGAAAGCTGAGTCTAAAATCAGCCAAACAGTGTTTAAAGGGAAAAGGAAAATTCCTGCCAGCTCCATGGACACTGCTGGATGCTCCAGTCCCGGAGCTGTAAAGGCAGAGGTTGAAATGATGGAGAAATCTGATTTATCACATCTCCCCGAGGGAGCTGACTTTTGGATCATCACTGAAAACAAGACCTCCAGCACTTCAGGCTTATCTCAGTAACACCTCAGTGCTCCCAGCCAAAGTGATAAGGCACATAAAACACCCAGGCTTCCCACCTGGATGGGGATGCTCAGGAAGCCTGGAATATTTAGGTACAAGTCCAGAACCATATGGAAGCAACAGCACCCACGAGCTGCTTGGCAGCACCCTGTCCTCAGCTCTGCTGTGCTTGTGTGGCTTTTTTTGTGTTTCAGAAAGAGCATTAGAGACACACCTGGGAAACCAAGACCACGCACAGCTTCCCAGGCATTCCTCCAGCTGCATTCCAGAGCCATTTCTCCAGGATCAAAGCCTGCTCTTACCAGTTTTTGGAGGGGGAGTACGTGTGGATCTCATCGAAGAACCTCTCGGGCTGGTGCAGGGGGTAAGGGCTCGGCCTGGTCCAGCCCCCAAAAAGCACCAGCAAGTCCTTGTAGACCACCAGCGTGGCCCCAGCCTTGGGAGAGGGGTAGGAACCTGGCAGGGAGGGAGGAGAAGTTAGGAAAAACCATGTTTGAACACAAGCCCCTAACTCGGCATCATTTCTTCAGTGTCACAATGTGGAGACTCCACCTTTCTGAAAAAAAATGAAAATAACAGAAAAGGAAAAAAAAAAAAAAAAAGAAAAAAAGGCAAAATTAGAACTGGGAGCCTGGGAAGAAAATTCCTGCCAATTTGTGTCATGGTAATTAGTAGGAGCCTGAAAGCACATCTCAAACACAGCAAAACATCTGTCACTCACTGGCAGGAAATTGCCGGTTTTCCAGCGATCCCTCCAAATTATTGCTTTAGCGCCGAATAAAAGCAATAATTACCTCCAAATACCTCCTAAGTCTCTCCCTGAGGAGGGAGGGAGAAGGGAGACAACTCCAAGGCACCCCGAGTGGCTCGTGCAGATGTGTGGGGTGCTCACAAGTGGCAGCACCCACTGAACCCCGGGTTTGAGAGGAAGCCCTGAACTGTGAATGAATTAATTCCTCCAGTCTGCAGGATGCAGTGCTGCTCTAAAAATCGTGGAAAACCTTTTTGTGGGGCCTGTTTGAGGTTCAAAGGGCTCTGCAGGGCCAGGGGCCTCCTGAGCAGGACCTGCACAAGGACAAGGTGACCTCTTGGGCTCGGTGCTGTTGGGATTTGCTGTGCTCAGATGGTTCTATGGATCCTGAGGGCTTTCCTGAGCTCACCTCTCACCTACTGCTGCCCCTGGCCACCAAATCCCTGAGAAGCTGCAGCTGCCCCATCCCTGGAAGTGTCTAAGGCCAGGCTGGATGGGACTTGGAGCAACCTGAACGTGTCCCTGCCCATGGCAGGGGGTGGAATGGGATGAGCTTTAAGGTCCCTTCCAACCCAAACCATTCTGGGATTCTGTGATTCGTGTGGAAGATGTCCCTGTCCATGGAAGGAGGGTGGAATGAGATGAGCTTTAAGTTCCTCCCAACCCAAACCACTCTGGGATTTTATGGTTCTTAACCTGCTCAGAGCAGGAGCAGCCTCAGTGCAAGAAACCTGTTGGCAAGAGCAACTATCAAAGGATTCGATTCCTTTGAATTTATGTTGGGAAATCAGACACTGCAAAAGCCCAGTCCCTGCCTGGCCCTGGAGCCAGAGCTGCTGTGTCTGTGTCAGCACCCTGCTGATGTGTGAGGTGCTGAGCTGCTTCCCAGAACAGCTAAAACCTCTGCAGGGCCTGACTCTGGGCATCTCCTTCCCATGGTGGCCACCAGCAC